ACCAGGACAGCAGAAATCCTCCATGGTTGTCCTCTTAAAAAGACAAATTGGTACCGCAAAGCTGGTCTCTCAAAAGGTGGGGAATGCACTCTAATCTAGCCAGAGGGAAGGAGCACAATGAACTCTCAGAAGATCTGCAGGAGACAGTGTTCTCTGGGTATTGGTTTCATGTTAGAAACATTTCTGTTATTTGCTTTTGGAAAATGAAAACTCAGTCTTTTAGTGAGAATTTTCACCATAAAATGTCACTTTCTGTTATTCCCTTTTTTAAGCTCTTCTTAAAAAGTCCACTAGGCTAACTGTTTTTTCTTCTCTGAATGAGTGTTTCAGACATCGACTGCAATGACTTTTGCTTTTCCTGTCGTAATACAACATGATCTGGACTTTAGAAGGAAACTTACTTCACTTGCCTCAAATAAATGCCAGCATTTTCTTTTCTTCTAAACTGTTAACAGGCTACTCACTACCCTAGGAAACTTGTGGTAGATGTGGAAAATACCTTCTACATTCTCTTCCATTTCTTGGATCGTGTCAAGGGGCACAATTCGTGGAACCTGCCCTAAGCACAATAGCTAGTTACACCACTGGCCGAAACATTATCTTTGCTTCTCTTCCTGTTGACACTTTTCTCCAACGACTTCCTGGTGTTGTTTTCTGGTTCCAAACACTCCCAATTTCAATGTTTCATTACTATCATTTATTTATAAAGGAAACTGCCCCAACAATCACATTATTTACAAGAATATTCTTGATCCATCCAGTGTTCCAAGGATATTTTTCAATTACCATAAAACCATTTCCTAGTACTTTATCCTACACAATTCTCCACAAAAACTGAAGGAGAATGTCTAGAAGGCAGAGTTTTTGGAAGCAAGGGTCACATCTTTTCATCACTGTATATCCAGTGCCCAGCGCTGTGTCTTGCATATGGTAAGCACTTACTAAACTCCTTTTGAATGAATTAATAAATGAATAATGAAAACATGAGGAGCAATGTCTCCTTTTATCAATCCTGCAGAGGAGTGAAGCTAACAGGTTCAGATTTTGAGAGACCCATGGTAAGTCATGTATTAAGGAAAATATTATAAGTTGGGTAGAAAGTGGGGCTTAAACTCTAATCTAATCAATAATTACAGGGTAAAAATGGAAGAGAATCATCAGCTTTCACAAAGAAAGCCAAAACAACCAAAAAAAGAAATGGAGACTTCCACATTTCTTGACATTCAAATGTTTTATCGTATTGGTTGTTAAAACGCAGCTCCACCGAGCAGGCTCCTTTCCAGCAAACCCACTTTGACTTGCTAGCACAGGCAGGGGCGTGGAGGAGGGATGGAGTCAGCTACAGCATCAGCAGCAAACTTGATGAATTCCAAAAGTCATCCTCAGATGAACAGAAAAGAGAAGACTCAGCACATCTACTCCGTCACTACAGAAGGGAAGCAAGCACACAATGCAAAGAGCCCTGGAGGAAGGGATACCAAAGAGCTACCTCAACCACCAGTTAGCAAGGAAGTGTCACTCCACAAGGACTCAGCAAATGAACAGTAAAGGGAATTGAACACTCTCTAACATACATTTATTTAGAAGAATATAAACAAATTTCCTTATTTATGAATCTCCTCAAACACTCAATTTATCACCATAAGTTGATGTGTTAGTTTCCTGTTGCTGCTGTAACAAATTGCCACAATCTCAGTGTCTTAAAACAACACAAATTTATTATCTTACAGCTCTGGAGGTCAGAAGTTCAAGTTCAGTCTCACTGGGCTAAAGTCAGGTGTCAGCAGGGCTGGTTCCTTCTGGAGGTTGTGCAGGAGAATCCTTTTTTTTTTTTTTTTTTTGCCTTTTCCAGCTTCTAGAGGCCACCTGCATTCATTGGCTTGTGGCCCCTTCCGCCATATTCAAAGCACTTTACTCCAGTCTCTGCTTCCTCATCATGTCTCTTCTTTGACTTTTCTACCTCCACCTAAGTACTCTTGTGATTACAGTGGGCCTACCTGGATGATCTAGGATACTTTTCCCATTTCAAGATCCCTAACTTAATTCCACCTTCCATGTAATGTAAGTTAATATAGACACAGCTTATGGGGATTAAGATGTGGACATATTTAGGGGGCCCATTACACAGTTAGATAAGTATTAAAGGATTCAGTTAAAATGTGAGGAAGGATAAGACAATGAAGAAAGCCTTTCAATAACAACAACACAAAAGGTATTATTGCTAGGAATTTCCTTCAAACCTTCCTGGTATTTGGTCTAGTCTTGAGCTAGCAAATCAGAAGTATAATGACACACTATGAGTATAATATAATTCAGTGTCTAAAGATCTGGATGTGTTCTTCAAGAGGGAAATCCTCCAGTAGTAAACAGCCAGGAAGAAGCAAATACTATCTCACTTTTATATAGGTTGCTATTTTAGGAAATCGCCAGTTTTGTTCTTTGAAGGTATCCAGAATCTAAAAGTAGAATTAAGCCAACAGCATTAGCAAAAGCATCCAGTCTGCAAAGGGCACAAGGAATCAGCCATGGCAACGGCAACAGGGCAGCAGCAAACAGCCTCAGCCATCCATTTATCAGAACACGGAGTCAGCATGAGGCTCGGATCACCTCCACTGAGTGGGATAATAACACTGAAACCGTCAGTACGGTGCTAGGGGAAAGAATGCACGAGAAGAAGTCAATGGATCCAACAGTTTGATGTATTGAGAAACACGAAACCAACTGTGGCTAGCATTTTTTGTCATTGTGTAACAGAAGTAAAATCAGAAACCTGTGATTACTTGCTGCTGGGACTACTCTGACTGAAAAGCATCTCAGTGTGAGAACAACTAAGTGCCTCATCCCAGAGAACAAATGTGAACCAAGAGATAACCCAGCATTTCAGACAGTGTCATTTCCTGAAGGGAGAAAGCAGGGGGGAAACAAGGTCAACTGTGATGAAATATGTGCCTGACACTGAGAAATAAGACCAAAATGAGTGAAAACATTTCTGTAGTATCTTTTCAGAAATTCATGGGCAGAGAACATATGTAAGACTTAGGTCCCTGCATCTGTGTGTGTGATCGCCACACATTTTCCTCTCTTGTGAAAACAATGCTACATACCCTCAACCAAACAGCGCCAACATCATCATGAATTCTGAGCGTGGTTCAGGCCTAGTTTTAAGGATACTGATGTTCATTTCTGTGGGATTACTGCTCTGTAGGAATGTGCGTAGGAAAACAAAAGCGATTTTTCGATATGTATATAGGTGTGACCTGGCCTGTGATGTCCACATAATCTTTAGCAGTGACTTTATGTGGCCTTCAAAGAAAGGGAGGGTTGTCGTGAAGTTGGCAGGCTACGCAGTCAGATCTAGGACTGCCTTCCAGCTCTGTCACTTAAAACTTTTAAAACCCAGATTCCTCATTTGTAAAATATGCTTAAAGCCACGTTGTTTTGAGAACCAATGACATGAACATTGTGAAAAAAACACAGTGCTTGGCACACAGAATACTTAAAACAGGGCAGCTGTTAACAGCAACAGTAATGAAACAAAAGAATAAATAAATAAGTAAATGGGCTGAAATGTTACCTCATAACTCTTAAACAAGCACTGTGCTCTCATTCAGTACCTGAAACAAATAGAAACCTGGAGTAAAGTTTGAACTTTAGTGGAAGATTTTAAAGATTTTCTAACACAAAGTCTTATTAAATAGTTTTTTAAAGCCAGTCTTTAATTTTAAACACATTTTTGTTTCCATTTTTCCATTTACCAGAATCATATTGATGTAAATACTGGAAGTGAGCATCTGAAAATGTACTCAATTTTCACGTGTTGCACGTCTTAGTTAGTCGACATGTACTAGGGGAGACAATGATAAAACTGTATAGCTGGCAGAGATTGAATATAATTACTCCAGATTCCTCATTTAGCTGAGATTAGGCAAGGCTCAGAAATACTAATTGCCCCTGGTGCCCAGACTGCAAGGCGGAGAGTCAAGACGGCGCCCGCAGCCTCCCGGCTTCCCGTGCAGGGATCTTCCTACAGGAAGGCTGCTCCATGTGTTTCAGGTACCATTTGCTATCGAAGACTGTCCTCATCAGCCAAGTTTTGCCTGGAGAAGAGGGAGCGTTGTGTTTCCATACAACAAACTGGGATGCCTTTGAAGATTTGGACACTTAACTCGGGAGCCTAAGCTGGAGTGTTTATGCTCCTTCCTTCCTCCTCAAAATCTTGGTCAAAGTCTCTTCTGTGAAGAATATATATATATACACTAGCAAACGCATCAATTAGGACATTGTTCCCCAAGGCGTTACTTTAAGACTTACGCTTTCCTAAACACTGAATTTCTGAAAATACCGACCGAGTTTACATGTACCCTGTAATCCAAACCCTCTGTCTCTACTATACTGAGGCCTCTTAGCAAACAAGCATTTAGAGAAGGCAATCAAGTGGTCAATGTGTTATTTCATGTTAGATAAAAATCTCTCAGTCCATTCTTTCCAAACAGAAGATCAACCTAAAATGAAGAATGAGGTTAGAGAACTATTGGAAAGCAGATAAAGTTTAAAACTATTTATATATTTAAACTATAATAGTTTAGATACTTCAAGTTTCAAGACTTGACATTTCACATATTTCTCCAAGTTTTCTTTATGTTACAAAGTATGAAAACAAATCCACTTGTGTGAAAAAAGTTAACATTTTGATACTTGTATTTACGGTATGCTTTAAAAAGACTGTGAGAGAGTTAGTACACAAGCTTTCCTTTCAGGTTTTTTTCCTAAAAAGAGAAGAGGGACATTTAAACCACAAGTTATTAGCAAATCTTCAAATTGATCTTCAAAGATATTTTCAACTTCAAAAGGCAAATCTCTAATTTAGTGATCCTTGAGGGAAGAACGGACATTTACTTTAAGGCTCTAGGGAAATTCTGAGTATTTCTCAGTCTTTCAAGCAAAGAAACAAGGAAAACTCTCGTTGGAGGACCTCTTTAGATCCACAGCTAACTTGTACTGGGCCCACTTCTGATCGGGAGCAAGAGCAGGACACACATTTCACGTGGGATCTGAAAGCAGTTCGTAATTGACGAGCGTCGCCCAGAGCGTCCCGGAGCCATGCAGCCTCTTTTCAACGAGGCCGCACGTCCTCGCCCACCCGTCCCTCTCTCCGTCATGGGTGCCCGTCCACGCGGCCGCCTCGAGCGCGGCCTGGCCCCGACGCGACGGCGGGCGGGAGGCCGCGGCTGGACGCAGCGCACCGGGAGGCCTCCGGGGGAAGAGGTGAGGCGGGCGCAGGGCCGGGCAGCGCTGGGGACGCCGGCAGCCTCGCCAAGCGGCGAGAAAGCGGGCAGTTTCGCTTCCTCCGGCGCCTCCCGGCCGCGTTTCCGGCCGGTGCGCTTCCGGGCGGCCGCGGAGGGCAGCGCGGAGGCCGGCGGAGGAGAGGCAGGCGGAGGAGAGGCCGCCGTCTTCGCCGCCGCCATGCTGCCCGCGGCGCCGGGTGGGCCGGGCGCGAGCCGGGCGCGTTCCCCCTGCGGCCCAGCGCCCCCAGGTGGGTGGTCGCGTGTCTGGGGTGGCGGGGGCCCGCAGGGCCGGCGCGGCGGGCGTGAGGAGGGCGGCTCACGGTACACCGCCGCTGCCCGCCGCCGCGCAGGCCCCGGAACTTTCCAGAGCACCGGGACAGGGGTTACTGGCTTCTCCGGGCGTCTCGGAACGAACGTTCAGGCGACGCGCCTGCGTGAAGCTGTGCGTAAACCCGCGGCGTCCGTGAGCGCGCGCCGGCGCCTGCTCGCGCACGCGCCCGAGAGCCCCCCGGCGCGGAGGAGCGCACGCGCGTTGAACAGGTCGAAGGGGCTGCGATCGGTTGTTCCAGTTCTTTGGGAAGCGTTTCTGAACTTTATAATGGTTATAAAAAGTGTTTAGTTTTGAGATTTTTTTAAAAAATCCTTCACTTGGGTATTGAGATTGCTGCAGGGGTTCACCGTTAGAAATGCAACAAGAAAATCCGAGTGAAATTCTCATTTGCTGACTAGAATTTCTTATAGCTTGCTAGCACTTTTTGGGTAATGTAATTTTGGCTTTAGCTGCTTTTCTTGCCTAGTGCCTTTTTTAACATGTAAATTTTAGAAGACTGCTTCTCACTTGCAGCGGGAAGTGACCAGAGGCGTCGGGGCCGGGATGTGGCCGCCTGCGAACCCGTCGGGAGGGTGCCCGCTGCGCCTGCGCCGCCCGCGGAGCCCTGGGCGGGCTAGCTCTGGTGCGCTTTCAGCCTAGCAGTTTAGTCAAACAGAATGGGCTGCGATTGGTTTCAAACTTCTAGATTGATCAGTTTCGCTAGAAAACGGCTTTTATTTCTCCTAGTACTCAAGTGATACTGTGAGGCACTTGCCGTTAGGAATGGCGCTGGAGTGATGGGAACCAACTCCTTCCTCATTCTGAGTTCTGTTCCTCCTCGGGCGTTTTCCCCATCTCCTTTGGTCCTTCCCAATAAGATATTATCACTTGCTTCACTTACCTCCTTATTTGGCCAAAGCAATGAGCTTTTTCTTGTAATGAGCCGTTTTGTGTTAACCCGTGTCCGTTCCTAGATATGAGCAGTCTTCTAAGGGAGCTGGTTCGGATTAATCCTCTGATTAATGGAAAGCCGTTTTGTATGACCCTTCTCTCTGCTTCAGGCGAGCTTCTCCACAGCGTCGGGGACTTTAGCTTAATGTAGCACATTAAAGGTCAGTTAGTCCAACTGCTTCATTTCAGAGGAGAGAAAATTGAGACCCAAGGAGTGGTTTACCCGAGGTCCGATAAGTAATAATTATTTGAAGATCACATCGCTTCACCAACAACCTTTTATGTTGTGTAGTAATACGAGTGTAAACTGGTAAACACCATCTAAGTAAACACCGTATCATGCCTCTGCAGATAATATATTTCTAGCAGTCTGTGTGTGGTGTGCTTGTAGTGACATCTGTGGATCCTGCCACCACAGAAATCTGTGAGTATCCACCACGTCCTTTAATGGAAGCAGGAAAGGTGTGATAGCCAGGACTACAACGATGGAAGAATGATGCACAGTGGATGAAAATTCCGATTACATTGTATTTTCTGGTTTATGTTTAACTAGATACTGTCCATCAATGTCCAAAAGAGAAATTCTTCCTTTGCTGTATCCCAAAACGAAAGTTTTTATAATTTAATATTAACTGTTACCTTCAATAAGGGCTGTTTATTTATTAAAGCACAGATTATTCTCCACTTCATAGTTTTTGTATTTTTATTAATATTATTTGATGCGTCTTATGAAGAGAGTTGAATTATTAGCTTAAAAGCAGACAGCACCTATCCTGTCTCACAGTGCGCTACATGCTTATATGCAGCTTGTGAGGAACACGGGTTGTTTAGGTCTCTCCTCATCCTTGAAGTTCTTGAAGGTTTGAAGCTTTATACTCTGACTTCAGTCTTCCAACATAGCCAACATCCTAGATTTCTCCTTCCAAGAGAGTATCTTGGTTCTACTCTGGTGGCTGGTAAAACTTGCTGTCTTCAGATCAGCTGGAAATGTCCTGATAAGGTTATTTTTGCTGAGATTTAAAGAGCGGTAGCTGTCTTAGGGCATTTTCACTTTACCAGTATGGAATACCAAATGGAATGGTTAATATGGCCTAGTTCTCTAAGATCTAATTGCTCAGGCTTCCACAGCAGTGTATTTGGTGTTCTACTTATGATAAGCAGAGGGCACTTTTCTGGTACATCTCTCTGAACACATATTGTAGGTGACCATGCCCTGTTTACGATGGCCTCTGGACTCTGATTGCCTCATAGCCAGTCAAGCTTCATTGCTTATCCACTCTATGTCTTGGCTAAATAACTAAACCTGTCATTATCTCCATTTGCCCACTTTAAAAAAGTGGGGAAAACAATAACGTTTATTTGAAAGAGTGGTTTTGAAGATTAAAAGAGGAAAAGCATGTGAAGTGCTTTTCAGAGGGGCATAGCAAATAGTAATTGCTTAATACATGGTAGCTATTATTTTAAATCTTGGGTCATTGGACAGTAGTGTCACATTTACATATAAAAGGTAGAGTTCTTGTTGAGAAACTGCCTCATGTTGACATGGGGGAAAGCTTAAATGAATGAAGCCATCAAGCTCCCACATGAAAAAAAATTAGAGTATGGCTTCCTGTAGTAAGACACCGCCATATCCTTGTAGAAATATTGTGGTTAATAGTTCTGAGAGGAGGAAAGAAGGAATCCACAGTGAAAAGAAGTAAGGATAGATTGATTAAAAGGGCGTTAGAGTAGAGCAGTTACAGGAAAGAAGAAAATGAGACTTGAATAGGACAAAATGAGAGCATGTTTTATTTTCCCATATCACAGAATACCATTTGTGACTCAATTAAAAATATATATATAAATACATGTGAAAAACTAAGCGTCAAATTGAAAACTGTGGGATACTTCATCAAATTATAAGAAGATGGCAAATCTATTTTACCAAAATATTTACTGCTGGCTTAAAAAAAAATCCAGGGTTAAGTAGAGAATATCATTCCTGCTAAATATAAATCGTGTTTTAAGAATTTAAATGGCTATTACCTGATCACCTACGTTACAGTTGCTATTTTATTACTTTCTTTATATATTATAGAATATCTTAAGTGTAATTTTGGAGACAGTTATGAAATAAGAATAGGAAGAGCAAACATTCCAGAAGTTATTATTTTAAAATAAATTGTTATATGGCCTTGTAATTCTTTCCTGTTTTAAATATACAGAATGGTATCTAAATTTTGCTGCAGACATTGAAATAGTCCAGGTGGGGAAAATATGAGATATTGTGTGGAATTATCCCCTCTTGTATTTATTTTTCACTCAGAGAAAAATAATGGGCCTTTTAGACGTAGACCACTGGGCAGAATTTCTTTGTTGTTTCCAAGTGCTCCACATTGAAGAAGTCCAGAAAGACTACTTCCCTTTGTAATCATGAGAAGTAATTCATCAACGCCTGTGGTCTTTTATAAGATTTCCTTTGTATCCAGTTCATTAAAGTAAGTTATGTTTTATCACACTAACATGTCATATTTTCCTTTCTTTTAAGCTCCTGTACCGCTTTTCCATATTAGTAATTCCAATTTCTTCATTTTTTTATGTGTTCCACCCTATAAGGAAGACATACTGAAAAGTACAAGAACAGTTTCTGACTTCGAGTTCCATTTACTATATGCTTCGTTTTTTGTCATGATCCACGCTAAGGACTAAGCCTCATCCTTTTGTCAGGATCAATATTCTCATTCCTTTTTCGTTCCAAGTTACCCATGGGATCATGCCTAATTTTCAGAAGAGTAACATAGTGTCAAGAACACTTGAAATTTTGACCTTCTTTTAAGAGCTGCCGTTTATTGTGTTTCTATTTTGGATTCATACGGATATCACAGTACTCGATAAGTGAGAGCATCAGCAGGTTAGCACCTACTTTGGACTAGAAGTTGCATTGTTCACTATAATCAGATGAAAATATTTAATAATTCATTGTGCTCTTTTATTTCATACAAAAACTTTTTTAAACTGTTAAAGTTGTAACTTCTAAGTCACCATGTCTTTTTTAGAAGGTAGAGAAACACAAAAGGGTATGATTCTATAAAATCATGTCACTGGAATGACAAATTGTAGAAGATTTCTTATGACTGAAGAATCTCTAAGATTTACACATTTTCCACATTGGTCTATCACATTTTATTTACATTTAATAGATTGATACAGTTTAAAAGTCTCAGGGGACAACTGCATTTTTTTAGTACAATTAGTAAACTACTATGCCACTATTGGGAAAATGAGTGAGATAAAACTGAGGCAAAAATCTACCTTGGTTTCAGTTAATGAGGTAATTCCTTAATTTTCTTATATCACTTTTCAATAAAAGTTTAGACCTTTCACTACTCCAGGCACATATCTATAGGCCAGAGACCCTTCCTTTATCATATCCTGTCCGTCTATACCATGTAAAATGGGTAGAACTTATATCATCCCGATTCTGCAAAACACTCTCTTGGGCCAAGAATAGGCACTTGATTCAAAGGAAGCCAGCCCATTGGCGGCTTAATGGCTAATAATGCCTGTTGTCTGGCTTTTACAGATTTCTTGGACTCAACAAAGCCCCTCTTTTCCTTTCAAACAAGAGATAATGAGACCCTTGTCAGTGGAAGGTCACCGTTTGATGTGATATGCAATAGAGGATGACAGCCAGTTGACTGATGTGCAAGATGGATAGTTAGAAAGAAGATGAGATGAGA